GATGGATGGATGGATGGATGGATGGATGGATGGATGGATGGATGGATACTTTATTGTTCCCAAGGGGAAATTTGTTTTGGACACTGTGCGTTTAACAAAGCTTCTTCCACATCTAAATACGCTACAAACAATAAAATCATGTGAACACCACAATAAAATAAAAACACCTATTACTCAATTAAAAACTCAATAAAAACACATATTGCACATTCCCACATAAATGTTGACCCCTGTGAGTGGTCAAACTCTTTATGTTTTACATCAAAAACCTTTTTTTAATGCATTTCCTACAAAGCAGCACAATAAAAATAACTTATTTTACACAGAATCTAGCAAATCTGTGCACGTTTTAGTCACTAACAAGTGGCTGAGCAGGAACAAAAGGCAGGTCACAAAGTGCAGGAGGCGGGTAGTTGAAGTTATTCAACTATTTCAATAAAATTAAAGCGCATGGCCACAAAGGTAGAATAAACTCATAACTGGAGAGCACGGCATGAACAGGTCAAACGCAACAAATTTATTCTAAGTTTCTTTTCATTGACACTTTTCACAAAATGGTCCGGCCTAATTATATCACATATGTGCCACGCTCACTGCCAGATTTAGGGGTGGTGTCCTGGGTCCTTTTCTGCCCCCGCCCTTTGCAGATTTCAGACATCAGGAAGTGCCGGTCAGATAGCCGTGGCGTTGCTGGAGATTGAGTCCAGCCAATTATGCTGCGTTTGACTCAGAGCTCTGAGCGGTTGTTCCAGTCTGTCTGTGCAATGAAGAACAATTATGATAACAACTCTGACAATGGTTTTTACTTCATTAGATCTGTGGAAAAGACAGATCAGACTCATAATGAGGTGTTTCCAGGGAGGGGAGCCCTTTCAGACCACTGCCGCTCATCTGGATGTGTTTTAACTGTTAAACTGGTTTCCTGCTCTGATTGGAGGAGAGGGCCTCAGCCTCCCAGTGGCTTGTCAATTAGGACACTCACATCCATAAATATTTCAGCCTGGATCTTATATAGGTCAGGCCTGGTTTGATGGTTGTCTTTCTCTGCATCTCTGCACCCTTACACTTGTAGATTTTGAAGCCATGAATGTGCATGGTGTGAGAGTCTGATGATATAACCTTGAGCAAAAATACCACCGTTTCACTGTAACAAAAAGTTTTAAATGTATACCGGTAGTTTGTTTATAATTCTAAAGTATTACTTCATATTTGCTGTTGCAAACATTTAAAAGCAGCCTTGCCTTGAAAAAAAAAAGGCGGGTGTTGCTCCTCTGGTAGACCAAACTCCACTGATTCACAACGTTACATCTTCCAAACCTTTGATTCTCCTCTTTTTGGGTGCATGATGTAGTCACAGAGTGCATGCAGCATCTTCCCCAATGATTTATGTATTTATTTTCACAAACACACCTGGTGTTTCCATAATGAGAAGCTACGCTCCGCCTCTGGGGTGGACGGAGGAAATCTGCTACATCATGCAGGCGAGAGAGAGTTACGCAACATGAAGTGTCACTTCAGGTGAAGGCCCGGCGGAAGTGACGTCACTAAGGAGCTTGTTGGTCGAAACATCGAGGGGGTGATGTCATCAGAGCGCGTAACAACTAGTAGGGGATGGGGGGGGGGGGGGTTTGATGATGTGGTTGCTGAGCAGAAAATCACACAAATCTGAGAACATTCTGCAAAACATGCAAGCCTTCTCTAACACACACAAGCGGCGTCCTCACACGGACAAATACATCCAAACACACATCTATGTGTGTGTGTGTGTGTGTGTCTCCACAGTAAAGCAGTTTGCACATCCACACTGGGTTATATAAGCCAGCTGAGGCTCACTGAAGCGCCAGTGGGTTTTTAGATCATGCCGTGCTGGAGCTCCCATCATCCACTGCTCTACTGGGCGCCAAGCAGCTGAGAGAGAAGGAAGAAGAGAAGAAAAGCGTCTCGTTATGCAAGCAGCTAAAGCTAAAACCCAAAAACACGACTTCTCTGTGAAGCTCGGACCAGGGGAAGTGGCTCTGATGTCTGCAAAAATTCATCTGTCTTTAGATAAAATACTGAAGTCTCTGATTTCCTCCGGATCAACGTCACCATGAGTCGTCACAAAAAGGACCTGCATCAGTTAATTCACAAATATTATATTACACGTGCAAGCATTTTATTATAATACTAAATATATGTGTATATGTATATATAATGAATATGTTATTGCATTTTCTGAAGAAAACGTACATTTTATAATTGCGTGATATTTAATTAAAATATCAGTCAAGTTTCTATAAAAATCAACATTTAACTATCTGAATAATGATTTAGATTTTGTAATTATCCATTTATTGACTATTTATGACTAAATATTTATGTGGTGTTTAAGAGTTTATCTCTGGTTATAATTATGTATTCATACGTCTAAGTTAATATTTGATATTTAATTATATTTTTATCAGTATGTGACGATTTCAGCCCTTTGATTAGTCAGTATATTTGTCCAATAAAAACAGTTTAATTCTGCTTCTTTTTCCACCTTTAGTTTTTAGTTCAGTTTATTTTGAGAGGTTTGTCTTGAATACAAAAAACTCATGTACATAAAGAGCCAAATCTCAGCATCAAACAAGCAACAAGAAGATTCATCCACACCTTCAAGTGTCACAATTCATGGTGAGAAGTTGTAAGATTGTAATTTAAAAGCTTTCATTTAGCACAAGACCCATAAACGTGACCAGAACAATAATTTATTATTCCTAAAAGACGTCGACATTGTGGCCTTTAATGATTTATTGTTTAAAGATAAGCACAAAATTCTAACTCTGAATTATTTATGAGGAAATATGAAGAAAATTGTGAAAAATCCAAGTTTTTATTAAACTTGAAACCTGGTATGTCCATTTATTTAATGTCCCAATAGGTAAACAGCAAAATATTCTTTGTAGATTAATAAAATTCTGCACTTAAAGTATCACAAGGTTACTTAGAATAATTTAGACAGATTAGATTTAATCCAGTTTCAGTTTTTACTGTACACAATGTAAAATAAGTGTGAGATTATACTTGTGGTTGCCGATTAAATGGACACAGTTCTTTAATTTAGAAGTAACACATTTAGTTTTATTTATTTAGAACGTCTTGGTTAAGATTAAGAAAGCATAAAGGATTGAGAAAATAAATAACTCCCTGCTTTAAAAAATCTGCTTTACAAAGCGAGTCGAGTCGTTGATGACGACAAAATGAGCAGATGAAAAAAAAAGCTTTTTAATTGTTTATTTCGTTTGTTGTTTTTGTGTCCATCAGTCCAAATATAACTTTCAGTTTTTGTTACTTTCATGTTTTGCCCGAAGCCTGAACATCAGGATCTGTCATTTTGTGCACCTGTTCTACAACTTAATCCATATTTTTATGCTCTTGGTTTAAATAATCAAATTAATTATATCCTCGTTAACTTGAGCTACATTTGAATTGACCAGCTATGTTCATAAATGTAGAATCTGTCCAAATCACATCAGTTATCTCAGAGAGAGAAGCTCTTCTCTTTATTATAAATACATGTTTTCATTGGGGTCCAACTATAATTTCTCGTTTAAAGAAACAGGAAAAGTTTGTGGCTTTAGCTTGTATTGAAGCTAAAATTGGACATTTTCCCATGCCCAGTAAGGTTCTTAATTAGTTTTGATGAATTTCTACTGGTTTTTAACTAAACATGAGAATTTTATAGAGCGCTCCTGTCACGTCGGGTGTCAAAAGTTCAGACGCTGTTGTTGTAGACGTCATTTTGTGCCTATACTAAACTTCATTTTTTGTTGGTTTTGCATTCTCTTTTCCTCTTGGCTACAGTGAAGCAACATTTCCAAACACTTCAGGCACTTTAGTTTGCTTCACATCAAAAGCCACTTTGTTCTCAGCCATCAGCCCACTGTAATCCCTCCGTCCCCCCACTGTGTCCC